AAAATATGGCAACAGCAGCAGCGATAGTATTGCAGAGAATAGGGCAGCAGTTACATCGGCAAGCCTCAGTGAGGATCAGATTTTTGCCTACTTTCACTATCCGCCCACCTTCTACCGACTGCATATGCACTTTGCGCATGTGGATTGTGCGCCCGATGGTGGCACTCAGACGGGCAAGGCTTACCTCGCCGAGGACGTTATCGCCAATCTGGAGCAGGACGGGGAGTTCTACGCCCGCCGGACCATGCCCATCTTTCTGCGTGAGAACCAACCTTTGCTAGCAGAAATTCGAAAGGCAACTTCAATGACAGCAACGAGTCCCGAAAACAAACAATGACAGGCGTGAATGCAAGTGGCAGCAGATGGTGTTCATTTGGATGAAAATGTTTTGATGTTCCTCTTCGTACATTTTATAGTGCAGTCAAATAGTGTATCCTCTAAACCGCTCGGTTTTTCTGCTTCAATTTACACTTTGCTGCAGTTGTTCCCTTGATTTATTGCTTCTAAAAACTTCATTGGCTATGGTCAGATGGCTAAAAAGCGTAGACTTTGCGGGTTTAGAAAGTGAAACTAGTGTTCGTCAAACGAGTCGGACTAAATTCTCCATGAGCACTAGGCAGCCTGCTTGACCATATGTGGATAATTATCACTGTTTAATAACTAGTATTCCGAAAATAGCTGTGATGGGAGTTTTGAAAGTCGCGCTGACTCCTCTTGGTTAAGCGAGAGAGCAATATGTTTCATATCATCGGCTTTCTGACGTCTTTTTTGTGGTGACGACATTTATATCCTACTACGGCTTAGGTGGTATACGGTAATAGACGCTTCCAAACAAGCTGACAGTTTGTTTGGCCAACAAGCTGTTTCATTCAATGCGCGTAGTTTACTGCATCGATGTGCTAGAAATTATGTTTGTTTATTCGTTTTAACTGCTGAAATGTGGTCTTGCATACTAACCGACTACGGCAAAGGTAGATGGTGGCGCGCACAACCCCGCCTTGATATAATTGTGATATGGATTCTTTGAGGGGCCGCCTTGGGGGCGAGTGAAGCGCACCCCTCAGGCTCACGGGCACCTGATTTTAGGGGAGAGGACGG